CTATCTATCTATCTATCTATCTATCTATCTATCTATCTATCTATCTATCTATTATCCCGCCTATCTGGTCAATCGAGGACCACCAATCCACCCCTTTGCTGAAAAGGCTCTGCTGAAAGGTCCCATCTCCCCTGGAGCCATGCGGCCAGTGTTGACAAGGGGGTGGGAAGCACCCAGTTGCACGGACCCATCTGGATTTGAAAGATTTAGTACTACTGTCATGCTGATAGCACCCACTTTTACCCCTCCTTTCCATCTAACTCCAGGGAAACTGTTCCAGTTCTAGACCAGTGCCTGATGTTAATAATAGACTGGATGAGGATGAACTGATAAAAACTTAAGTCTAAACAAGATAGAAGTGTTCCTGGCTAGTCAAAAGGCAGATCAGAGAATACAGATTCAGCTTGTGTTGGATAGGGTTATAATTCCCTGAAAACTCAGGCTTATGTGGATATGTTCCTAGATTCAACCCTCAACCAGGGTGCCAGGTTTCAGTGTTAGCTAGAAGTGTATTTACACCTTTAAAGTTAGTATGTCAGCCACACCCATTTCTTCAGGTATCTGATCTGGCTCCAGTGACACATGCCTTAGTTATTTCTCACTTTATTATTGCGGTGTATTATATGTGGGACTGCCTCTGGAAAATATTCAGAAACTTCAAATGGCTCGAAATGCTGCAGCCTGACTACTGGCTGGGGCCAATTAGAGGGAGCATATCATTCTCCTACTATAGCAACTTCTTGAGTTCCTGGTCCATTCCAGGCTCTATTCAAAGTTGTGATTATGACCTACATAGCCATATATGGTATGGGCCCAGGCCTGTCTGAAGGCCTGTATCTCCATATATGAGCCAGTGCACATTTTAAGGTCTTTGAGCCCAGTCCTTCTCTCAGTCCCAATGTCTTCACAGAGCATTTGGTGAAAGAGGACCTTCTCAGTGGCTGCTCCAAAGTTATAGAATGTCCTCTTTACTGTTCTTCATATAGCAGGCTCCTTTTTGGAGCATACTTTTTAGCAACTGAACATGATCGAGTTTTGCTGCAGTGTGCTGTACAGTCTATGTTTCTTGTATGTCTCTCTGTTTTCTGAGGCCTAATCAGTTGTTTTTAATTGCAGTTTCAAACTGTTTTAAATGTTATAAATTGTGTTTTAACTGTACTTGTTTTTAACTTTTCATAAGCCAAACATGGGACCATACAGGATAAATGGCATATAAAATAAAATAGAAGTTATGAGGTTTTAATTCTCATCAAATTTAGCCACAATAGTTAGTGGCCAGGGATTATGGGATGAGTATTCAGTATTTTGAGTCCCACATGTTCCCAGTCAGTGATTTAAGAAGTCATCACAGTCTGTCAGTCTCTTCGCAAAGTTCCAGTTGCTGAAATAAGGCCCACATTTACCCCTGGATCAAATATCCCATGAAAGAAGGGGGTAGGAAACATGACAACAGCTGATGATGCATTTGTTAATGCATGCCATTTCAGACAGACAAAATGTTTGTAATGCCTTCCTTTTTAAGTTTGTTGATACTGTCTTATGTAAGGCTAACGTTTTGTAGTTTAAAATAGTTCTTCTACAAGAGGATATCCCTTCTTCATTCTGTGTCATATCTCAGGAAACAGGCCTGTAACCTCACCAGTGACTGGTGAAAAATCAAATCAGAAAGCCATAAAATAAAGGGCTAAATTGTGCAATGGCCAAAATCCCATTGCTTAGCATAGTAAGTTGTACTAGAGTAATCAGTGGAGATTTGACGAGTCAACTCCCCTATGCAACTTACTGTGCTAAGCAATAGGATTTCAGCCAACATGTTAAATGAATGGTCTACATTTGCATCTCCGGGGTGGGGGGGTAAAAGAAACATTTAATGTGATTGAAGGTCTGACACATATGCACACAGTCTACTTCTCTGTCTTTCCCCCTTGCATAAAACTGATCAAATTTCTGTAACTCCAGGGTTCTCCTTTATTTATTTTATTTATTTATTTTATTTATATCCCGCCTATCTGGTCGGTTAAAACCACTCTTTCCCACTCATTAAACTTAAAGAGTAACGCATTATGCAAACATACAAACTATGCAATAAATGTACAGATGCAACTTCTCCACTCTCTTGTTTCCAAAAGCTAAAACGGAATGCTTTCTTATCTCATGAAGGCTTACCTTACCTTCTTGGTAACATTATATTAGAAATGCTTTAGATTTTTTTTCCTGTATATGTAATGTAAATATTTTCAAGCAGTAAAACCAAAGTGGTGGAGAAATTAGTCATCTTGGAATGCGTAAATCTTTGTTGGCATGTCAAACTTGATATAATTAGCTCAGTCACTGTACAGCTGGACTGTGTTGCCCACAGGAATAAGTGTTTTGTTCTGTTTCTCATGTGAAAAATTAAACTGAACTGCATTTGATCTATCACTGCTGAAAGTCAGCAGGAATTGCAGTCAAAGCCTTCTGCAATTCTGTTACTTTCCAATTTGGTGACATCTAGTAGTACAAATTAGATTTTTTGCAGATCTTCCATTTCATTACTGTAAGAACCAGTATCTGCAGCATTATCAGAACAGCAATTCCTAATTAAGATAATTTACTACTGTCATAAATGCTAGCAGATGGCAATTTCCACATGCTAAGAAAAGGATAATTCAAGATAATGTAGGAGATGCACAGCACAGTCCCAAGTCTTAGATGTGTAGTTGCTTCTATTCCCTAGTTTAGTGTCTGAAAGTTATGATAACCACGATCCAACTATTCCACACTTTCTAATTTTAATTATTTTTAAATTTATCCAAGTTGTCATATGAATCCTTTAAAGCAAGGATAGGAAGAGGGATAAATCAGAATCTGTTGAAGCTGTGTGATTTGCAGTGTCAAGCAAGGACTTGCAGTTATTTAACTGCAGGAGTAACAAAATGTCTCCCTGCCCTTCACTCTGTATTCTGGTGTGAAAAATGAAGAAAGTCTGAGGATGACTAGGAGAAAGATTTTTGCGCTGATGAACTGTGAGTGTGAATGGATGAACAGTCATTTCTGCTAGGATGAATTTCTAGAGTCATAATTCTTAAATTCTGAATGCATGCACTTTACACCTGGCTCCAGTTAGAGGATCTTTAGTTCTAGAAATATAAATAAACAGATAGATTCCCTCAAGCACTGTCTTAATGCAAGACATTCCTTTAAGGAAGCCGAGAACATTAAATAAATATAAAAGAGGCATAATTTGCTTAATGTGGCTGATTGGCTGCGTGCAGCACCTCTCAGCTCCACCAGGACCCCCACAATTCATTTTTTTTAAAACAGTTGCTCAAAAGATTTCCTGGTGCCCTCTAGGTGGCATGGGGTGATTTTGCCATGTTTTGATAACCTATCCACTTTTAAGGCTATCGTTATGCGCCGTCAAGTCGGAACCGACTTATAGTGACCCTAATAGGTCTTTCCAAGTAAGTGAAGTCCTGTACAGACTGGCTGTTTGGGGTGTGGGGTGATTTGGACTACAAAGGGTCTGTTGAGGTCAGGGGAAGAACAATGTATGTGCCACTTGGTATGTTCCTCCCTTCCTAACAACAGGTAACCCCTTCTATCCCAATCAGGTCTCAATCAAGCGGTTTCCCTGATCACCTGAATGCCATTCCATTTTCTCTCTTTCCCACTGCTTCCCTTCCCTTATTCTCCCCTCATTTTCTCTCTCAAGCGCAGCATCTCAGCTGCTGGAGGCTGCTATATTGTGGCTAAACAAACTGAACAATGCGCATGCCGAAAAGTGTGAATGCTGTACTGCTGGGCCAGAAACGTGTTTGATCACTCTTAATGGGGAAGGATAAATCATTCTAAGTAGAAATGAGGTCTAGTACAAAGTAGCAGATAAGGTCTTTTTTTTTTTATCCAAACTGTGCCATCTGTGACCCATATGTCATATCTACTGTATATGCTAGTGTGGACAGGCCCTGAGATATTTAAAGAGCAGTTTTACCAGCTTCACAGCCCTAGTGAACTTCCTTAGCTGATCAGGAATTTCAAGCCAGCCTCCTGATTCCTACTCTCTGCTTTTGCTTACACATATGAACAGCTGTTTATAAATTATTGGTTCTTCTTTGTGGCCTCTGTGAATGACACCCTGGGTGATCCGTGCCTGCACAGAGCCTCATCGGAAAGTTTCTGTTCCCTACTAGAGTAGAACTATTTAATCTACAGTATTGATGTTGACTTAGTATTGATAAGCTGACTCAGTGAGTCTACTCTAGTTGCTCTTTGAGTGGGAATGCAATTAATACATATACATTTCAGTCTCAGGGAAACAGTTTTAACAACAAGCTGCAGCTTTAAGGTGATTTTATAAAGGCTTTATAAAGGTGGTTATATATATATAATTATAAAGACCTAATATAAGCTTTACATTCCAAGATCTCTGTTCTAAGGTTAGAACATTCACATAAAAAATCTAAAGTATACAGATGTAGAAGACATTCAGAATCGGATTTCTTAGGGCTCTAGTCATGTAAAATACTTTCCTGCATATTTACCTGTGTTTTAAGTAATGTTCATATCCTCATTTATCTTATCTTGTTTTTAACATAATGTTGCACTCTCCTTTGTTCAAAATAGTTGCATTATTTAATGCTAAATTGCATTTCAAAGAGAGAATTTTTGCTCTTTATATAGTTTTATGCCGCCATGAATGCATACATTCTTCAGTGTGGGGTTGTGATTGCAGTTGCATTATGGCTTTTCATCTCTTTTACAGCATGGCGTTATGTGGGTGCTGTAGGGGGGTTCCTCTTCATCCTCATTCAACTTATGCTGCTAGTAGAATTTGCACATAAATGGAACAAGAATTGGTATGTATCTCTTCCACACAATTAACTTGTCACAGACATGTATGCATTTAGAGTAGAAGTATTTTTACAAACTGTGTTTGAACTAGGTTATAAAACTTTTGATACATTTTACTTGTTTGCAACAAGCAAATAGGGAGAAAGAGATAGATAGTCAGATTGTTTCCTTTGGTTTCAACCACATTGCTTTCTTTATTCATGTCTTTATATTAACAAGCAAATAGAGAGAAAGAGATAGTCAGATTGTTTCCTTTGGTTTCAACCACATTGCTTTCTTTATTCATGTCTTTATATGCCTTTTGCTTTCTGTTAACTGTATGTTGCTGTTTATCATTGATTTATTGTAATATTCATTTATTTTATTATAATATTTAGGAAATTAGTGAAGACAAAATTATACAATGCTGCCTTCAATAATTTATCCCCCAGATGCTGTTAATATTAATTTTATTCCTTGTGGGGTTTTTTTTTATTAATTTTAGATCTAGATTGGTGAACCATCATATTGATTGTATTCATAAATGGGGTCATGTTGGCTTTGAATTTGTAAACTGCCCAGAGTAGTGTTTCCACTAAAAGGGAGATATATAAATCAAATCAGTCAATAAGATATACAGTGGTGCCTTGCTTGACGAGGATAATTCGTTCCAGCGAAATCATCATCAAGCGAGAAAAAAAAAACAATTGAAATGCATTGGAAACTGGTTCAGTGTGTTCCAATGGGCAAAATACCTCAGCGTCCAGTGAAGAACCTCCATAGGGTGGCCATTTTCTGATTCCTGTTCAGTGAAAAATCCGTCCTAAAAACAGCGGGGAGCCATTTTGCAGAGCGGGTGGCCATTTTGAAACCTGACGATCAGCTTTTTTTAGATCATTGTAATGTGAAGAATCAGTTCCCGAAGCAGGGAACCGATCTTCATCAAACGAAAAATGTCCTTTGAAACATCAGTAGCGATCGCAAAAACGTCATCGTGAAGCGATTTTGCCGTTTAACGAGGTAATCGTAAAGCGGGGCACCACTGTATTATGTGTGCAGCACTCCCACCATCTACCTGGGAAGTTACTTGATAAAAAAATGAGGTAAGATTAGTCTGGCAGCCTAATAATGTTGTACAGTGGTACCTTGACTTACGAACTTAATCTATATTGGAACAGCATTCGTACGTGAAAAATTTTGTAAGGCAAGGCCAGATTTCCCATAGAAATGCATTGAAAACCATTTAATCCGTTCAGGCTGTTTTTCGTTCGTATGTCGAGGCGCTGTTCGTAAGTAAAGGCATTATTTCCCATAGGAACTAATGCAAAGCTGATTAATCCATACTCTACCACTAGGGGGAGAATTTTTAAATTATTTTTTCTTCTTTTGACTTAAGATGAACTTAGGTCAAAAAAAGGGCAGGAAAGTTTTTGTGTGTGTGTGTTTTTCGTTCATAAGTCGAGGCTCTGTTCGCAATTCGAAGCAACATTTTGCGACTGGAGCCGTTCATAACTCGAAACGTTCACAAGTTGAGACGTTCGTAAGTTGAGGTGACACTGTATATACATTTAAACACAGAATTTGAAAGCAGTGTGCTAATTGAATGTATCAACATTTACTTTCATGGTAAACGGAAAGACACATTTAGTCGTAAGAGAATAGGGTTTTAAAAATAATGCCCTCTGGCTGCAGCAATTTCTTTGTCTTCTTTTTTAATACAAAAGTGATGATTTAACTACTAGTTTGTTGAACCAACATGTTACCGTATTTGCCGGCGTACAAGGCGACCGGCCGTATAAGACGGCCCCCCCTACAGAAGAGGCTGGGTGGGCGGCGGCAGGAGGAGGAGGAAAAGGGAAACAGGCAGGTGGCGGGCAAGCAAGCGCGCTGGCTCAGCAGTGAGAGGGCAAGGAAGAGGGCAAGAGGCTGGGTGGGCGGCGGCAGGAGAAGGAGGAGGAAAAGGGAAACGGGCGGGTGGCAGACAATCGAGCGCACCGCTGGCTCAGCAGCGCGGGGTGGCGGGCAGCCCAGCGGTGGGCTCTGGCCACTCAGGCATGGCAGGCTGTGCTTCCCTCCCTCGATCCAGACCAACTGCCTGCCTGCCCGCCTGCCTTCCTCCCCGGCCAGCGCGGCCCCGCATCACTCACTCAATGGCAGCGGCGGCGGCTCCTTCCTGGCCCAAATGAAGGGCACCCGGTGTACAAGGTGACCCCCCCTTGGGGGCATGTTTTTGGGCCCAAAAAGTCATCTTGTACGCCGGCAAATATGGTATGTCCCAGCTGTGGCTGCATTTAATCTTTATCTCTCCTCCCCTGAGCGTTTTCCACTTTATCCTTACAGAAGCCTCACAAAATAACAGGCTGAGAGGGAGAAAGTCACCCAGTGAATATTGTTGCTAAATAGATTCTAAAATCTGGATCTCCCAAGTCTTGGTCTGACACCATGGAACCACTGGTGAATTCTGTGCTTATCAAGCCATGTCATCTTCAGATAAATATCTTTGTTTCTAGAATTGTCATTGCGTCTTTACTTATTGATTTGATTTGATTTGTACCCCCCCCTTTCACTCCATCAGATGACAGTCAAGTCAAATTAAATCATTGTCAGCATAGCAAATTTTACTCCGTAACAAAGTAAGGTCAGCGGATGTGCCTGAAGACTATCAACCAGTACCATTTGATGTGTATGTTTCCCCCACCTCCTGCACTCCACTTTCAACAAAATGCATAATGTGCTTTTCTTCCCCAAACAGGACATCTGGAGCTAAGCACAATAAACTCTGGTACGGCTCCTTAGCACTTGTGACACTTGTATTGTATTCCATTGCTGTTGGAGCTCTGATTGTGATGGCTGTCTTTTACACTCGTGCTGAAGGCTGTACATTTAACAAGATCCTGCTTGGTGTCAATGGCGGCTTGTGCTTGCTAATTTCAATGGTAGCTGTCTCTCCCTGTGTCCAAGAACGTAAGCAATGTTTATGATTGTGATTATGATTCTTACATTAGCTTGAATTGCTGATCACTTGATGGATGGAGTTTGAGCCTCAATATCCTACCAGTAGAATTTCATATGTGTTTTTGACTGACCTGTTAGTCCCAGTCTTTGAGTCAGGTGTGTTAGGTTGCATCTTGTGCAACCTAAACTACCATCACTCACTATCAGGAATCACTGCCCATCTGCATAAGCCTGTAGTGTTGTGATCAGGTTTTATGATGGTTGTGACTTATTGTATGTCCCAATGTACTGGATGTATTAAGGGTTCTTTAAAAATGGTCCTGATAAGCATGGAGTTCATAAGAACAATTGAATCCAAAAGTCATTCTCACAACTATCCTGTCAGGTAGGGCCAGAGTAAGAGAGAGAATGGCTGTCTCAGAGTAACCCCATGAGCTTCATGGCCTTTGGGGACTTCAAACGAGTTGTATCTTAACAAAGCCTTTGACAAGTGTCCCATGATATTCTGGTTAACAAGTGTCCCATAATATTCTGGTGGCTCCTCAAAATGGGAGGAGGTAACAAGTAGGGTACCATGAATGTTAAGTGCCCTTCAACATTCATACAGTATTAATAACTTCAGTGAGGGGATGTAAAGAATGCTTATCATAATTGCATATTACACAAAATTGGGTTGAACAGCTAATACCCTGGACAACAGAAACAAAATTCAAAAAGATCTTGATAGGCTCAAGCACAGGACTGAAAACAATAGAATGAAATTTAACAGGGATAAGTCCAAAGTTCTATACCTGGGGTAGCGGAAACAAACATACAGTTACAAGATGGGGGATACTTGGCTCAGTAATACTATGAGCAAGAAGGATTTTGAAATTGTCATTGATCACAAGAGGAATATGAGCCAACAGTGAGATATGTCTGCAAAAAAGGCAAATGCTATTTTAGGCTGCATTAACAAAAGTATAATCTCCAAATCCCGTGAGGTACTAGTTCACGTCTGGACACTGCACTTTAAGAAGGATGCCAACAAACTGAAATAGGTTCAGAGGAAGGCAATAAGGATGATAAGGGGACTGGAAGCCATGTCCTGTGAGAAAAGACTAAGGGAACTGGGCATGTTTAGCCTTAAGAAAAGCAGACAGAAGAGAGAGATGATAGCACTTTTCAAATACAGTACTTGAAATATTGTCATACAGAGGGGCAGGATCTGTTCTTAATCATCTCACACTGCAGGACAGATAATAATATATCTGTGAAGATTCTCAGTCATTCAGGTGAGGTTATCTGGAAGTTGAGTCATGGCAACTGGACTTCTTTCTTGTTTGGTTGAAATGTTTCGCTACTCATCCAAGTAGCTTCTTGGGTCTGAGAGTTGGTAGGAGATCCCTACAATGGGTGGAGAAGGACTGCAGAAGTGGAATTTTCACAGACTCCCAGTCCTTTGTCCTTCTAAGAAGCCTATTTAGACCAGGGGGAAGTGAAACCGAAGTGGAGGCTATCTCAGGGATTTCCTACCAACTCTCCTCAGACTGAAGAAGCTACTTGGATGAGTAGCAAAATGTTGCAACCTAACAAGAAGTCCACTTGCCATAACTCAACTTCCAGACACCTAACAATGGGTTCAAGTTACAGAAAGCAAAATTTTTCATGTACAACAACTTCCAGAGAATTCATTGTGTTCTTTAAATAATTTTTATTATAGGTCAGCCACATTCTGGCTTATTGCAGTCAAGCGTAATCAGCTGTTATGTCATGTATCTCACATTCTCATCCCTTTCAAGTAAACCTCCAGAACAAAGTAAGTTACCTGAAATCAGGGGTTACCTGTGCATGTACAGTGACACCATTGTGTAGATAAATGAATTTTTTAAAAAATCAAAGGTATATAAAACATTTGTCCATTACTAACATAAGGGTGTCCTTGGAAGTTCATAAACAGTTACTGGAAAGATGGAACCTGCATGAATGTTCTGAAGTCCTCATCCATATGTTAAGTTCATTCCAAAGTAGGTTTTGAAAGGGGAATTCTTTTTGTCTAAAGCAGTTTGCAGCACAGTATCAGCACTGGTCTTCTCCCTTCTTCCAGATAGTTACTCTGGAATGTCTGAAACTGTCTAAATTAAATGGGGAATGCTTCTTACATTGTTTGGCTTCCAGTAGAACAGTGACTTCAAACAGAGCACCTCAATCCACAGATCCATGTAATTAGATCAAATTACAAGGAAAAAAAATTTTTTTGCATAAAGTGTAAAGATAGGGTAGGGAAAAGGGACGTGGTGGCGCTGTGGGTTAAACCTCAGAAGCCTCTGTGCTGCAGGGTCAGAAGACCAAGCAGTCGTAAGATTGAATCCACGTGACGGAGTGAGCGCCCGTCGCTTGTCCCAGCTCCCGCCAACCTAGCGGTTTGAAAGCATGTAAATATGAGTAAATAAATAGGTACCACCATGGTGGGAAGATAACACCATTTGGTGTCTAGTCGCACTGGCCACATGACCATGGAAACTGTCTACGGACAAATCGCTGGCTCTATGGCTTGGAGACAGGGATGAGCATCGTGCCCTAGAGTCGGACACGCCTGGACTAAATGTCAAGGGGAACCTTTACCTTAGGGTAGGGAAAAGGAGCAAGGAAAGGACTAGATTCCCCATCCATAGCCCTCTATGGGCATAGCTGTGTTCCAACATCATTAAGTACCAGGTGAAACACTGAGTGGAAGTTTCCTACCTCACCAGGAGCCAAGCTTCAGTCTGCTGCCCACTTTCCTAAGTGTGAAGAAGGATGCTGTCATTGAGAGCAGGAAAGGATGTCTGTGGGGCTGGGGGTTCATATACACAACTGGTGGGGCAGGAGAAATCAGGCTTTGGGGGCTTTTAGAGATGGTGGGAATGGCAAGCACAGGCCAAAATGGGCTTGTAATCCAGCTGAACGAAGCTGAGGGTTTGGTTTGGTTTGAAGACCCTACATTTCAAAGGAGTAAGAGCCACTACATTAGGAAATTCAATTTTCAGATGTTTCAGCATGTGACATACTGATTTTATTTATATAAAAATAAAATATCAGGATGTCCGTATTGCTGGTTATATCCATTTAACCCTTCACAGTGGGTTTTTTTTTAAGTCCTAGATGAGAATCAGAAGAACATCACAATCTGTGTGCCTGAATTCAGCCATGGGCTGCAAACAGATGAAAACTTGGTGACTGGACTGGGAACTGCCATCCTTTTCTGTTGCATTTTATATTCATGGTATGTCTTGAATTACAGTTGTACTTCAGTATGCATGTATGTTACAAAACATACACCAGTGTACTTCTGAAAGAATAGTAATTGTTTGACATCATTCCACAGCATTTTGATGTTTGCTGAAGATAAAACAGAATGTAACATCCTTAATTAAGGCATTGGTAAATACCTTCATTATGAAGTGATTACATAAATAACTGGTAAAATAGGGAGTCACCATCTGTCATCTCCTTGGGTCACTATAGGTTCTCTCCCAAACAGCTGTTGATAAAATATTACAATATTGGTATAGTTTAATTACAGTCAAATAAGAGGAACTGTTGCCATTGGTATATTTAATTTTTTTTTTAAGGGCTACAACTAAGTGTTAATCCCAAGTAGAGTAGACTAACTGAATTAATGGGACTGATATATGTGTTGACCTTGGATACACCATTAATTAAAATCTACTCTAGTTGGTACTAACAATTAAATTTAGCCCAAATGGTTAAATGATCAAATATATCACAAAATGGTGGTTCTTACCACAATTACTTACTATTCTAAATACTACTTTTTAACACAGTGTGAGAGTGAGTTTATGTACCTTTTTTCCTCTCAAAAGAAGTGAAAGATCGGAAGATTTCACCCAGCAGACCAGTCTTTAGAGGAACGTAAGTGGCAAGAGGCAGTATATTTGTTTGCAACTTTTGCAACTATATTCCCAGGGATAAAGTTGTATTGAGGAGGGAGCACTTGACTTATAATCCTGCCACATTTTTTTCATCCAGTACATGTGTACAAACTGATTTTACTCTTAATTCTGCCACATTTTTTCATCCAGTACATGTGTACAAACTGCTGACCAGAATCCCACTGGGGATTTTCACCTACAAAAGTGTAATTGCATAAAGTGCAACTGCCAATTGCAGCTAATTAATGAGCTGCCACTTGTATTCCTGACTGTATGACAATCAGATGATTTTGTACATGACCAGGTGTGTGAGTAGCAACTTGTTGTTAATTAGCAGCAATTCACTGGTATGATTTGCGTAATTACGTTTACATTGGCATAACTCTAACTGCCAATTGCAGCTAATTAATGAGCTGCCACTTGTATTCCTGGTTGTATGACAATCAGATGATTTTGTACATGACCAGGTGTGTGAGTAGCAACTTGTTGTTAATTAGCAGCAATTCACTGGTATGATTTGCGTAATTACGTTTACATTGGCATAACTCTCCAGGATTTTGACAGCTCTTTGGACGTTGTGATTGTATGCTTCCTTCATGCACTGCAATCCTAATAAACGTTCTCACCAAAACAACTTGCCGGTGCAGTCTTTTCATTTGGTTGTAGTATCGCTTTTGCTAATTAGATTAATTGCATAAGCATCTAAATCTGTTTCCCACGAAAGATGCAGTTTCTGCTCTACACAATTCATTTGGGATTAGGGTCTTCCAGAAATAATTAAACCAAAATCCTGTTGCTTAGTTATGCCTGCAGTACATGACCAGGTGTGTGAGCAGCAACTTGTTGTTAATTAGCAGCAATTCGCTGGTATGATTTGCGTAATTACGTTTACATTGGCATAACTCCCCAAGATTTTTGACAGCTGCACTAAACTGTTACCTGTTTGTTTCTAGCTTGACCTCAACAACACGTGCCAGCTCTGAAGCATTGAGAGGAATATATGCAACACCAGAAACAGAATTGCATAAGCATCTAAATCTGTTTCCCACGAAAGATGCAGTTTCTGCTCTACACAATTCATTTGGGATTAGGGTCTTCCAGAAATAATTAAACCAAAATCCTGTTGCTTAGTTATGCCTGCAGGAAACTTGCAGCAGCTTCTTCCTGAAAATTAACAGATCCCAGCTTTGATTTTCAGACTTATGCCGGCTTACTGGCTTAGCACTCACTTTTAGATCTTTAATTGCCAACAGGAAGCCACTTAAAGTTGTGTTGTTTGCCTTCCACAGGCCTTGTTAAAACTGGATTTTTCCCATTCTTACAAAAAAGGTCTTTTGCACAAGGCAGGTTCACAGAATGATGCATTTGCACTAATCTGTTACCTGTTTGTTTCTAGCTTGACCTCAACAACACGTGCCAGCTCTGAAGCATTGAGAGGAATATATGCAACACCAGAAACAGAAGTGAGCCAACATTTCTTTTTTGTAGTACAAATGTCTGATTCAGCCAAAACCGGACTCTTGCCTGTGTAATGTTCCATAATCTTGTTCTTTACTTCCTCAGTAATTCTGCCATTATCAGAAGAGCAAATGAAAGATACTCATTGTACTGTACAACAGCTCGTTTTTTCTCAGCAATTCCTTAGAACATGATAAATGTTAGATTTTTATCCATCTTTTTCTATCTGCAAGTACAGTGGGATTTCCCTTGCAGCCCTTTGCGCTGCCCAAAATGTTTTCTGAAGGGTTGCTTTGCCCTCCTGAGCAGGACTGAACGGCAAGGGGGGCATTACTAGCTTTTCAGTTCCATTGTCAGAAGCAGTTCAGTCAGCAGAATGACATTATAAGATCCTGGTCCATGGGTCATCTCTAAGTATGCCTGCACCTGGCTCTCATCCATTACTCTCGCTCGGGTCTGTGACTTGATACTCACCTACCTCCATTAAAAAACAAATCTTCATTGCCAAGCTTGCAAACAAAATTTAGCCAGATTTCACGTTGGTTCTGTGCTAGTACCCCCTGGCTTATGCAACATTCTGGTAGCTCTTGTCACATACAGTATTTGCTTTTGAAAATACTACTGTATTGTAGGAGAAGTAATCTCCTACAATCTCTTTTAAGAAAAAAAATGTTCTCTATATAAATTGATTTTTCATGCTGTCTTTTTAAAAAATAAACATTTTGTGTATTTGCTAGATTATTGTTCTTTCTGAGTGTTCAGGCTCTCAGGATGAATATGATTCACAAAGTAGAGGCAATGAGAGGGAGTTAATTTCTCCCTAAATAAATGCACGGTTGTGTTTCTGATCACCATGCATGGGTATGAAAGTTTGACATTAAAGACAGCTGATGGGAAAAATTTATTTGTTTGAAATGTGGTGCCGGAGGACAGCTTTTCATATACCCTGGACTGCCAGAAGGACAGGTAAGTGGATTCTAGAGCAAATGACGACTGAACCTCTCTGGAAGCAAAAATGTTGAAGCTGAGACTGTCCTACTTTGGGCACATATTGAGAAGACAGGATTCGTGGAAAAGACAATAATGCTGGGAAAGGTGGAAGGCAGCAGGAAAAGAGGAAGACCAAATACAAGATAGACTGGCTCCCTAAAAGAAGCCACAGGTGTGAGTTTACAAGAGCTTGAGGACAGGACATTTTGGGCATCACTCATGTATTGGTGTCACCATAAGTCAGAGGCAATTTGACAGAACATAACAACAAAGATGGAAAAACTGTAGAATAAGAGGAGAGCAGAGGAAAATATAGTAATACTGCTTTACAAAATGCTAGTTGCTTTCCCTGATCCACAGGATTAATAAGCAGCCACAACTTTCTTTGTGTGGTATATTGAATTGAAATAATTAACGGAGAAGTAATTAATAAATGCAGTAAAGAAATCAAACAGTCTGAAGTGAGACGAATTTGGCACAAGTGTACGTTGTGGCAGCACCCATGGCTGTACGGTGTCTTGGGTGTTTCCAGTTCCTGTTGCCATCCTGCATCCCTGTAAGTGGAGAAAAGTTGTTTTTGTGTTTAAAAAAATACAACACCACCAATCTGTGCTGCTTCCTACATGCCAGAGTCTATTTCACTAGTACTGTAGAAGATCTAAAATCAGTTCAAGTGAGGATGCTTCCAGATGGCAGCATCTTCAACTGCCAAGGAGCTTCTGTGAGCCAAGGAAGCCCTTCAGAGAAGCAGCACTTCTTAGTGTGGGGTTTTGGCACAAACATCTCTGGCTTAATGCTTACCATCAGGACTGCTGCCAGGTTTTGGCCTTCCCAGTTAATCTGGGCTAGCAGCTGTTTGCAGTGGCCGGGCATCTGATTTAGCATGCTTGTCACCTACAAACAGTGTGGATAGGAAGCAGTCCGAGTGTGCTGTTTCTTCTTTTGTTGAGAAAGTGGCAACACAGATGGATGCTGTCTGGGTAGTCCCAGTTGCACGAGAGAGCTCAGAACTGCTGTACCAAAATTAAGCATAATGGAATTACTTTTACATCGTTTGTTCTTAAAGAGCAGTACAAGAACTGTGGCACGGGAGCATAAAGAAAAGGCTAGCAGCAGGCAACTAATTGTGTGTCTCATTCTTCCCTGCGACAGAGAGCCTTTTATCTTGTGATTAGAAATGTAAACATAATTCTCCAGCTGCATCTGTTACATAGAAACCTTTCTTGCATCTGAACTAAAGGCTGTAACCCACATTATGGAAAGCTGTTCACATGCATGCCAACATTGCTAATTGCGTCTCTCAAGAGTACGCAAGTCTGGAATAGCTGACAAATGTAACTATGATTAAAATCCTGTTGCTTAGTGTAGTATGTTGCGACTAACTGAACTAGTGAGGATTTGGTAAGAAATCCTCCATTGTTCTCTTGATTCAGGTGGCTTAGTTGCAATTCGTTACACTAAGTAACAGGACTTCAGCCTGTATATGTTAACTCTCTTAGAGCTAAATCTAATGTTACTCCCAATTAGGATAGACCTAAAATAATGAATTGGACTTACTACTCATAAGTAAGGTAAATTTCTTTGCAATTGATATTGGATTTTAACCTACTGTGTAGTTGTTGGGGAGGACCTTACTACTAAAAATTAAAATCTAAGGCAATAGCTAAAGCAAATTATCTGCAAATTATCTGGCTTCCATCAAATTGGAAGTATTTTGCTTGTGAGAGAGGCTCTTATTCTGTAATTAGGCACATTTCTGAGAGGAATTTTAATTTTTAAGTGCAAATAAAATAAAAGTATCAAAGTAAATACATGAATACATTGCTAGTAGATAATTAACTGATACATAAAACACAACATAAAACATTAATTGAAATGTATTTCTCAATAGTATGATGTTTCCTGAATTTAAAAATATTGATCTCTTTTTAATACATTTTCTATTGCAGTTTGAAAATCTGTACCACATACATTGAGTTAAGCAATATTTCCACAGTCAATATCTGTTTTGCAGCATGGATTGCTGAAGGACAGCTCAATTTTCAAAATATTCTAAATTTTGGTCTGTGTTATACACAGAAATCATTGATGCACCATAAAATCAAGTCTCTTTAAAATTCTGTATAGTTTTTATGCATGTTCATTTATTTCCTGGTAAATACAGCCATTTTTGTTTCTTTATGTATTCTGTAGGTAGCTCGTTGCTGCTTCTGCTGTTCTCCCGACGAAGATGGTAGGAATCTATTCTCTGTGGATTTTTGCTTTCATACATATTTGTATGAATGTGTGTGGGCATAAATTTGCATTATTTACTGCAGGGTGGGGAATTTTTATCTGTGAACCATATATTCCATTCGTCTTTATTTTTCCAACTCTTCAAGATGCTGGTGCCAGGAAGAGTGGGCAAAATCGTGCTCACTTAGTTCCATGGTGAAACCTGGATAGTGTCACCATCCAACGCGTGTCATATTTAATTTAAAATGATTAAAGTCTTCCTCTTCGACCCCTCACAGCTTCCAATGCTCCCAAGAGTTTCCTCAAGGCAAAAGCATGCCCTAGAGAGCCCCCAAATGTGAAAGGGAGGGGCAGGAACCCTTTAATCGGTTTAAATTAAATATAAGCAGTCGTGGATAATGACATCATTGGGTTTGTGCCACGGACTAAATTCTACACAAATAGGATTTTGTCCAATAACTGGTAAATTTTTAATTTTTCTAAAATGCCAATTAATAACGCTTTTACAATCATTATTGAAAACCCATTCGTAGCCTTGGGAGGAGACCTACATTTCACTTTTGTCATTTCCTTGTACCCAGTAGAAAGTAAGACTATAAGACTAGATGGGAAAGCTATCCAAACTCCCACTGGGTGGGTTACATTGGCTCCTGTTCCTCTCTTCCTTGATTCATGGAGACAGATCAGGAACAAGTCACTGAGTTTGTTTCTACCTAAATTTTTTTTGGGGGGGGGATTTTTCTGCATCTGATAGGTGGCAACAACTGAATCTTCCCAACTAGAGAAGAAAAACAACACCCATTACCCACATCTAAACCCAAGAAGAACTCTAGTGTAAATCCTGTGGCAACAATGTCTGAATACAGAGATGCATAAATATATAACCCTTTCTCTTGAAAGTTCACTTAGTCACATTTTTTTCAGAGTACAGCTATATTTATTCTGTTTACCTCTGCAGTATGTAACAACAGCAGCAACAACAATAGTGTGCGGTGTCTTCTAGTTATTGTGTACTCACATATGGTTTTACCTGTCCCTTCTCTTGGGGCGGAGTAGTTTGCCCAAGACCACGCAAGCTCACTTTTCTCTTAGGAGGCATACTGGGGAATTGATCTCCCAACCCTGCCTCTGCAGCCACACGTTCCATCTCAGTGAGCTTTCCAGCTGCTGTGGTATGTGGGGGAATGTACATAATTGCACAAGCAGAGAGGCCTTCTACTTCAAATACAAGTTACAGCCACAAGGATGTAAATTATAGGTAGAGCTTTCAAAAAAAAACACCACGAAACTTGCTTTTCTTGCCACATGTTGGTGGAGTCCGCTTTCACATAGTTGTAATAGATTGTACTTTTGTGGGCAACCTCCACTGTGCCCGTTTCTGTTCTGTTTGCATGTTGTTTGTTCTGCTCCCAGAAGTCTTGCCTACTAGAAATTCAGGCTCAAACAGTGGGTGCTGATGATAGTGGTCTCCATGTTGTTTTGTGGCTGATTTTCCTATTTCAAACGATGATGTTCTCCACAGACACCCTGTAATAAGGAACTGCATATGGCAAGAGAGCTGCAGTACCAAGCTTTATGCAAAACATGGGGAGTGTGTGGCCCTTCAGATGTTATATTGCAACACCCATCATATATAACTCCTGGCTGTGCTTTACCACCACCCTTCTTGAAACCTCAGAGAGCTATCACAGTCAGCATAGACAAAATAGGAGTAGATGAGCCAGTGGTTTTATTCAGTACATGACTGCTTCCCACATTCCAGAGACAGAGAGCAAAAGCAAATAACAGTGCAAAGTTGAAGAACCTATCAGTAGTATAAAGCAATGGTCCTTAGCCTTCCACCTTCCAGATGTTTTAGACTTGACCGTGCTGGCTGGGACTTTTGAGATTTGAAGTCCAAAGCATCTGATAATGCAAAGATCAAGAACCACTGAAATGACATTAACAGTGATCATATCCATAAAGAAAATCACAGGTCAGGAGGACTTTACTTTAACCTGGCTGTATTGTTCAGACATTGCATTTATTCTTTATGAACCCTTTTACATCTCACCACAATATTGCCACATTCCCAGCATAGCCCAATACCAGAGTCTTTCCCACCTTAGGAGCTATGTTCCTGCCTAGCTTCTCACATCAGACTGTCAAATTACAGCTCAGTCCTTTATGTTCCGTTCAGTACTTTTGGTACTACAACTCTATTCAGTGTCTGAGAATATCAACTTTATCTCACAAAATATACAGTTTTGTACACTCTCCTAGCTGTGTAAATTATTTCAGCGTTGTTTCTTTTTTGCCAGTGGTGGTTACCATGGATATTTTCATCATCTTTAGGAATGTTCATTTTAAGTCTGATTTGTTTTCACTAAGTACTTATCAAAAGCCTGTGTTTCATTATTATCTAATGTTTTTCCTCAGCTAGCATTCTGATTGTTAAATTTATTCAAAGGAAGTGTGTATTGTTAGTGATTTCAATTTGAGACACACCTTAATTTTTCTCTTTGTGTTTGCTTTACACAGCTAATGTGGAAGAACCTGCTGGCAGAAGGGGTGGCCAGAGGGTCATTTACGATGAAAAGAAGAACACTGTATACAGCTATGCCTTTTTCCACTTTGTGTTCTTCCTAGCTTCTCTTTATGTGATGATGACTGTTACTCACTGGTTCCAGTAAGTCATTTTCTGAAAATAATGGCTTTTGGCCTTGAGATGATGTAGCATAATAGTTTGGTTTGTTAAGACAGAAAGTTTGCAGTTAAATCGCATCTAGTTTTATAGACCCATTTGGTGGTCACTGTCCTTTCATCCGTAGACCCCATTCCTGCAATAGGTTTGGTTTGGTTTAAGACAGAAAGTTTTGCAGTTAAATCGCATCTAGTTTTATAAACCCATTTGGTGGTCACTGTTCTTTCATCCGTAGACCCCATTCCTGCAATACTAGTATCTCTTGCAGTGTTTTTGAAATTGAGATGATTCATATCCAGCACTTCCCGTGCTTGAAATTATGCTGTATAAACCATCATAACTGCTTTGTGTTTGACCTCCGGTCTTTAGTGCAACTGCTTGCTGTGTTTTGTGCTGTCAAGTTGGGTATCTCTTGCAGTGTTTTATAAAATTGAGATAATTCATATCCAGCACTTCCCATGCTTGAAATTATGATGTAAAAACCATCATAACTGCTTTGTGTTTAACCTCCTGTCTTTAGTGCAGCTGCTTGCTGTGTTTTGTGCTGTCAAGTTGGAACCAAGTTATAGTGACCCTAATAGGATTTGGTAGTAATAAAGCTGGCTTCCATTGCAAAGCATTACAGAAGGTGAGATCCAGGTCCTTCTGATCACTTCTTTCCTTTGATGGAATCAGAAGAAGAGCTGTCCCCCTTGCCAGCCTTCCGTCTACCCTTAAAATCAACTACAGGGGGCTGGTAACCCTCCGGAGTAGTCCTTTGGGGTATGTGGCGGTCTGCAGAGGGAAGTGGAAAGCAATCCCATCATTCTTACCATCCATTCTGGATTTAGACCACTTGTTTTGAATGTTTATTTTCAGGACAGCAAAAAGTTGAAAAAGTAACGGTGAGTAAGATTGTACAGATTAGTGCAGGGTAGGCAACATGTGGCATTCCAGATGTTATTTGACTTTAGTTCACACCAGTCTAGTCAACATGGCCAGTGGTGAAAAGGATCATTAGAGCTGCAATTTGACAACATCAAAAGGTCTACAAGTTGTCCATCTATGGTTTTGGCTAGAATGCTGAGACATAGGGCAGGAGCCAACTGAGAATGAACCAGGTACTGGAAGGTGAAAACCTGCCTTTACGTTCTATTTGCAGCTGTTAATCTTTACTTATTTTCATCGTTGTAGCTATGAAACTGCAGCAATTGAAAAATTCTTCGCTGGAACCTGGTCCATCTTCTGGATTAAGGTCGCCTCCTGTTGGGTGTGTATCCTCCTCTACTTGTGGACTCTTCTCGCTCCATTCTGCTGCCCAACCAGAGAGTTCTCAGTGTGAAGCTTCTTCTGCTCCAAGTCCAGTGGTTTAGGGAAGAGATGAACAAGACCATGTAGTAACCATCCTAAGGTTGTTGGTTAGGACATTGTTTCCTCTTTCCTATAAAATCTCTTTAAAAACTTCTACAGTAATTACATAAGCAGAATTAAGCACCCAAAGGAACTCTTAGATCAAAAGTGTCACCTCAATCTGGAACTCAGATATGGACACTGTCAAATATTCCATAAGATTTTTTTTATTAACACCTTAACTTTATGGATTGTCTATTATGCAGATATTTTGTGTTCCTCTTCTGAAATACAAATTGCCTTTTCATACATAGGGGAAAGTATTTTTTGTTTTCAGTCTTGCAGTAAGACTATTGCTGACATGTTACAATCCGCACAGATGTTGCTATTCACTGTGTCACTTGTTTGGTTGGTTTGTTGACTTTGTTTTTGACAAATAAACCAAACATTGAAATTGCTAGGAGGAAAACTGTCCTCCTAAGTGGGAAAATTATCCACTCATTAATTTCTTTTTCTATGCTAGATGCTCATAGTAAATTATTGCAAATGTGGGATTATGGAAGAAAAGGGTTTGTGGGTATAGAAATATTTATTTATGGTATTAATGAAAGGCACCTTTATGAATCACTGGGTTATAGGATGTGGAACACTGTAAATGTTGGTGCAATTAATTAACAACAGTTATGAGCTACTCTGGGAGTCACGGCATCTTACAAAATATTCAGAAGTAGATTGCGAGCAACAAATTGTGCATTATGCCTGTGTTTTCTGAGTTGTTCTAGTGAGTCTGAGGATTTTCCTTTGTGTGAAATGATTGCTGAGTCAATACAGCCTGCAATCTCCTTGAAAATGTGATCTAATAAAATGAAGTGTAGGGTGTATTTGCAGGATCAAATGATGGACATTAGGTTTTAGAAAAGTGAATTCTGGGAGAAACAGGAGGAGATTGATACACCCCTAAAACTGGCTCTGGGGATATAGCTGGAAAACTGTGTGGAGCTTGTTTTCCACTGGCAGGGAAGGCAGCCGGGTGGAGAAAGGAGGAGGAGAAAATCCAAAAAGTTCCAGCTGTGGAACATTGAATTTCAGTACAAGAAGTCAAGTAAAGATTGGCATTATAGAGTAGTCTTAACTGTGAACATTCCTTGTTATTTTCCGAGGAGAGGTGTTTCATTGTTGTTCACTGTTCTGCTCTCTCTTAGATTCCAAATTTCATCTGCAAGTATCTTTTGATATAACTTGTTTGAAGTGGAATTGTGGATAGTTTGTAGACAAAACACATTTAACTCAGTGGCTGGAATCCTGCTGGTGCTTATTAAGCTTTGCATAACTACATGTGGTTAATTGATGATGGCGAGCATCTTGGTTGCACAATCATGTACGGGTCTAGGTTTGTGACTGAGATGTGCCCTAGCATCTTATGAGTTAGCCACAGCAAGATACACAGACCTTACACAAACATTTTAATTGTAACATCTGTAGGCAAAAAGTCATATTCATCTTCCTGTCTCCTCAGCCAGCTTCCCAATCTTACCCTTGCCTGTCAAAGTTCATTTGGAGATCTCTTCAGTACTGGCTTTTTAAAAGTTCCCTTGTGTACACGAGAGGAGTAATGTTGGAAGAAGAAAAAAATTAACAGGGCTAAATCTAGTTCTCAGTTCCAACAAGGTTAGACTCATGGAATCAATAGGACTTGGTGAACTCAACATTTATTAAATCCTATTGATTCTGCAGTTAAGAATAAGACTTGGATTTAGTCCATTCATATTGAATTTGTACTATGGCAGCAATCCTGCACCCAGATATCTAGAGCTAAACCCCAGATTACAGCTGGACTTGATTCAGATGCTTGGGATTGCACTGTAAAATAATTTCAATCACTGGTCCAGTGGCAAGCATGTTTCCCATGTTAGCATATATCTTATGAGCTAGGTAGACATTTTTGCTTGTTATCTCATGCCATTCTTTGAGATTAAAAGCAGTGACTGTCAATCTTTTAATACTATCATTCTGCCAATGGTGACATTAGCTATAGTGTTTGTAAACTGCCACCATGTTTCAGCAAAAGTTGTTCAGAATAGCTTGATGGCTAAGATTTGTATTATTATGCTTAGCATTGCTTACCTATGCAAAGCTGTCATGCTTTGGTTGTTTGTATTGTATTAATTGCAGCAGCTGCTTTCATTTAATATGTCCTGTTAATTGGAGATGACAGCCATCTGTTGGTGACAGAGGAATGCTTGCTTTCAAAGCAATGAAGTTTTCCTGCATTTAACTCCACCACCAAGGGCTAACCAACAGGCCAGTAGTTCCTTTTTTGTTATCTCTCACCCAGTTTATTTATTTCCTTAAGTTATTGCTTTTTCTTTCCTAATAATTCGTAGCATGGCTTGGCAAGCTACATGGAACAATTAGAAGCTGTACTTAATGATACGTTATTAGTCAGGCTAAATATTCTGTCTCAAGAAAGACCGTGACCACCCAAAGCAGCTTTAATGTGAGAAACTGATAAAGTTACTGATTCAAGGTGTTAGGCAGAAGCCCAGAGTTTTATTCATTTTTTGTTTTGTTTTCTGCTACACCTAATGATAATTGCCTTCTAACCAGATCAGTCCAATCTAATTAAGTTTATATGTGCAAAAGCAAAACGATTGGAAGACTGATCAAACGGCTTTTGAATTTGTATGCCTCCAGTCACCTATATAAAATAGCAATGTCTGCTGTGCCAAGCGAGCCTTTTCTGATTCATGCTACCTTAATTAAATATTGGCTGTTGGACTACTGTTTCCCTGTGAACCCAGACTCTCCTTAGTGTCTTAATGTTAAATTTTCTTGAAAATGGATACAATTTCCCAACCTCTGGAACAGCGGAAAGGGGATACACACAAGGAAAGAGCTTTAAGGCTTTGGGGATATGTTTGTGTCTTGCCTTCTTTTGTGTGTGCAAGTGGGAGCTCAGGAAGAGGAAATGGTGCTACTATTTAAAAGTGACCTTTATCATCTCTGGTTGTTGCTACAATTATTCCTTGGAGCCTTCTCTAGCTTTTGTACCTTGTTGCTTCAAAGAGAAAAAAAAACTGCATTCTTCAATGTGGTAGGTTGTAGTTGGGAATTTCAGAGAGAGATTGAAAGAGATAAAATGCTGGTGCGTAGTTATTACCCTTCCAAAGGGAATCCCATGGAGCAAATTAAAATATACTGAATTTCTTAAACTACTGATTCCCTTCCCTACTTAATAACATGTCTATAGTTTATAATCTGAAGGGCAGAATTCTATAAATAATAAAGCACTTTGCATATAGTAGTGAGTGTAAAGGGGGAACATATATGTTTAGTTTGGTACAGCCCTTCTACCGTGTGATAAAGAAGAATTCGCATGTTGGTTTATTCATGTTACCACGTGGCTTTTAAAAACCATAAATCTTACAGAACTTGTTGCCAATGCGGCCAGTGCAGTTCTATATCTGTGCTAGTTTGTGGGTTATCTAGGAACCTCAATCCCAGAGATTCTTAGAAGTCTACAATAGGCTGTTTCTAAAAATCAGTACATTAACCATTTGTATGCCATGTAACAGGAAGCATTGTCAAACCCATGCACTGTCAAATTTTAAATATTTCCAGCTTTTGAAAGCCTGCTTTTTCTATAAAAAAGAAAAACTATTTAGTCAGAAGTTTAAATCATAGCAGCACTGATGTTGCCTGTTTTTGCCAAAGAATTACTGTACGGAAGACAAAATTATTGTGAAACAGTGGAAGGAAACTGTGTATTATTGCACATAAACCTTAACATTTATTTTAATCTGTGTAACAGAAACAATTCAATGTTTCTTGGCAGTGCTTGAAAGCATGTTGTAATGAAAGTGTGGAACCCTGTTTTCCAGGAGATTCCGCACATGCTCCATTGAAATGAATGGCAGCCTTGAAAGAGTTCAGATTCCATTCCATGCCTGTTCATTTCAATGGAGATTACATAAATGTTCCTGCTGGTTCAAAGCCATCGTTTCATATAAAGCAGCCATTTCTCTCCTCACATATATTAATAACCTTTACTATTTTAACTTCATATGTAACACTTCATTTTCTATTTTTTTATTTACAATGTTTTTTCACATCTGTTTTAAATAATGAATACAGAAGAAAGTATTCTGTATAGTTTTTTTTAACTGTCTTCAGGTTGGGTTTTTTTTTCAAAACAAAACTTTTGATACAATCTTAGTCTTTTTTAAATGGGAGGGGGTGCCTAGAATTGTCACTGAAACTGGTTTCAGTCTGAATCGTGACTCATAGCATATTTAGGACTTTTATTGTTTGTTTTTTTAAGATGTTGAGACTTTAAAGAGAAACCTGTAGTGTAAAACAAGCAGTGTTCATAGTTTTTAAAGCATTCTGTTACGTTTTCTAGACATAACTGCATATTGAAAAAGTATTGTAAATTGTTTAACTGACCAATAAACTTCTGTTTGTTTGAATTGCATTTGATTCGTGTTTTATGTATGTACCTGGACATTCATTTTGGGTAATTGTTGTATCAAAAACTTAGTTTAAAATAGCCACAGCATTTCATTAGGAACTAAACATGTCAATGGATAGTAAAAATAAAATAGCATTCTCAGAGCAACTAGTGAGCTTGCATTTATTTTTAAAAGTATGTGGAAACAATTGTACTTAAATGTACCTTGCAGCAAGGTGTCTGGATGATGGATAATATGTCTGCAAGTTGAATGTTGGGTAGTCAGAGCTGTAAGTACTGTAATTCGGTTTCTTTTAAGTAAGGATCATTCTTCTTCCATAAACCTGCCAAAGAGCTGTGCTCCATTTGTTTCTTCAAGGTATATTGCTGTGTACCTATTACTGGTTTCACTCTCTTCTGTTATCTATTACTTAGCCTTTTTCAAAACTTAGTCCCTGTTTCAGTGCATGAGTGTCTTGATAATATATGCACATTATCACTTATCTCCAGGATGTCTGTAAAGACTATTACCTTCATCACACAGATGAAAATCAGTTGATATGTGAAACAAAAAAGACAGATAGTAATTGTAGCTATGTTTGCTCAAGATAAATCCTGAAAAGCTCATCAGGGCTTATTCTCTAGTAAGCATATTTAAGATTGCAGCCTAAAACCATTAAGTCAGCCAGCTCATGTATCCTTTCATTGCTGACTAAAGATTTTTGCCTTTAATTTTGCATCAGAAACTTGCAAGATATATTTGGGCATGGGTAGAACAGACACAGTTTTTTTTCCAATTTGTTAGGTAGAAGGCTTTCCTTGTTATCCTGACTACTGTGGCATAAATGTTAGGAAAATTCAGCATTTTTAGCAATGAATGTAAATGAAGGGTTTCTAAAAATACTCCTACTCCCTTTACTCTTGCAGGAGAAACTAACCAGGACCACTGCATAAACATGGTGTCTAAATAGTGCAGAAACCACCCACTTCTCTTTAATCTTTTGAGCAATATTTGGAATGGTCTGATGAGTGCTTATTTTCGGATACTTTTGGCTGAAACATCTGCTAAACCCAAAATAAAAGCGTTCTGCAGGATGGATCTGTGCCACTGCAGTACAGAGGATGAAAGAACGTGCAAAACGGTTACTTCTGTTTAGATGAAGGATGGATTGCAATTTCCACCAGCCTGCACTGGCAGGGCCGATAAGGATAAAGAGTCCTGGAAGCCCAGTGACTTCTGGAAGACTGCACTTTACCAAACTTTGATCAAACCACCTTGGATTCAGCATAACTTTATTGCAATAATCCTACTCAGAGGTTAAGCCTGAAAGCATAGAAGGTTAAGTGTGTGGTATTCTCATGAGAATGCACATAAACATCCCCCCTCCTCCAAAAAAATAAAGTTGACCTTCATGTGCACATCATGGGTGTGTGCAGGTGGTAGGATTGCCATATTCCTATTGGTCAAATCCAGGCAACCTAATCAATGTATTACGCAAATTATCATGTAGCAGTATCTGAATATGTGTATACCAGCATATGGTGGCGCTGTGGTGCTAAACCGCAGAAGCTTGTGCTGTAGGGTCAGAAGACCAAGCAGTCATAAGATCGAATCCACGTGACGGAGTGACCTCCCGTCGCTTTGTCCCAGCTCCTCGCCAACCTAGAAGTTCAAAAGCATGTAAATGCGAGTAGATAAATAGGTACCACCTCCGTAGGAAGGTAAAATGACGTTCCCTAGTCACACTGGCCACGTGACAACGGAAATTGTCTTCAGACAGGCGCTGGCTCTATGGCTTGAAAAGCGGGATGAGCACCGGCCCCCTAGAGTCAGACATGACTGGACTAAAAATGTCAAGGGGAACCTTTACCTTTACCTTATACCGGCATATTGTGCAAATTAATGTTAATTTTTCCATATGATACAAATTAAGACTATTAATGGTTGTGTCACTTTCCTCCCAGTGTATTTCAGCCCTGGCTTGTTTACACAGTAATCAGTGATCTGAGAGCACCATAGTCACAAAGCTTAGATGGTTTTCTTGAGCCAAACTGTCATCTAAGACTACCTTACAAGGTTGCTTTTGGCATAATATGGGGCAATGAACCCATGTCAAGCAGCATTATAAAGAATATAAATTCTAAACCTGTAAAGAACGACAATATATCATTTTTTTCCATACACATGGGCTTCTGGTGATGTTCTCCTGAGATATCTACTGTATTGTTTTTGCTATGAAAAAAGCGATTGTTTCGGCAGCAAAAAAGCTACAGGTCCTTGAGACCTGCTCAGGAAGCCCCCACCACTGGTACATTGTCGTATGATTTGCAAGGGTGGAAAGTGCAGCAAAACAGTGAGGGCAAATTGCTGGAACTGGGCAAATGGCAAGACTAGAATCCTGTTGGCAGAGCTTTGCATGCTCAAGGCGGATGATGTCGGGGTTAGTGACTATTTTTTGGAACTGCCAACAGATGCTGAGTGAAGGATTATGGGACTTGCAGTCAAGAATGCAAAAAAAGGTGTAACTGTGCAAGAGCAGCAGTACTTTTCACCACTGTTGAGCCATGTGAAGGCAGGAAAGAAATACAGAGGTGTGCTCAGCAAGAGGGAAGCCAACCTGTGCAGTGGACAGCAGTGAATGCTAGACCAGGAGAGTAATTAGGGGCTGGGAAAGGGAACCCCCCCATGTCAGCATTCCTGCTTCTTTCTGCCTGCCATAAGCCAGGCACTACAACTGCCCTCTTGCTGCTCCCTGATGTCACCTATTGTGTTTGTGTGTGTGTGTCTGTGCACATCTGCCACCTGCAGGCTGCCATTTGCATTTCACAATCCCTTCTGGTCTTCACCACTTGGGAAAGTTTCGTGCCATCTGCAAACTTGGCCACCTCACTGCTTATCCCCGTCTCTGGCTCATTTATGAACAGGTTGAAAAGCACCGGTCTCAGGACAGATCCCTGGGGCACACTGCTCTTCACCTCTCCCCATTGTGACAATTGCCCATTGACACCTACTCTCTGTTTCCTGGTTCTCAACCAATTCTCAATCCATAAAAGGACCTGCCCTCTTATCCCCTGATTGGAGTTTTCTCAGCAGCCTTTGGTGAGGGACCGTGTCAAACGCCTTTTGAAAATCCAGATAGACAATATCCACTGGTTCACCCGCATCCAGATGCCTGTTGACCTTTTTGAAGATTTCTAAAAGGTTTGTGTGGCAAGACCTACCCCTAAAGAAAACATGCTCCCCTCCCCCTCAGCAAGGATAGAAAGGAATGGTGTAGAAAGGAATGGCGATCTTTTTTTTTCCCTTTTGGTCTGTAATTTGAGGTGAAACCCTGTTCTTCCATCTTTTCTCTGATTTGCTACTATATTTAGGCATGTAAGTAAAAAATCCCTCAGGAATAAAACTACAGTACCACTTGCTCTTGGGGGCAAGCTTGTTTCATATTATTTCTAGTAAACTAGTGGCAGATAAGTACTATGGATCTGGAGTCATCTGTACAAACTAATTGCACATTTTAAGGTATGTGTATGGCTTATGTGGGAAATTAATTGGCTTTGTTGGCTTTTGTTGGTCTTCTAGCATATACTTTTTTTTTCTTAATGGTGGTATCTGGGCCTATGCTCCCAAATCCATTTACTTTTAATTTTTTTTTTACAACATGTAGTTGGTCCTTTTGGTCCTGTGTGACTTGAACATACAATAATACTGGAGCAAAACTTGATGGTTTTAATTTCAGAGACATTCAAAACAAAATGATACCTTCACCTATTTTATGTTTTTATTT